AAAACACCAATATATAGGATTACAATCAAGAAATGAACGAAGTGCTTCTGGACAACGAGCTGAATGTTGATAGAGACGCATTTGGTTAGCCATTTCTTTTCTACAACACTGAAAAAGAAAACAATGAATATGTAGCATAATTGAAAGAATGATCGAATGTCTTTTATTACTCTCTCTCATTAGGATCGATTTGTGATCCTCGAAATAGAGGACTACCAGTTAATTTTTCATGTATAATTCGATTGCCATGTTCTCGATGATCTGTATATTATAAGAAAATGAAGAAGAGAAATAAAGGCATGCTCATGATTATCGTAAGAAAATTTATATTTACAAGCCATAGCATGAGCCAATGTTTTTGCTGTTGAATCAACATAATCATAATGACCACATGGACATGTCATGGCATAAATTATATTCGATGTAGTACATGTCTAAATTTTAGTCATAGCCGATCGATATAAAATTTAACATTTAAGAACAACATACTGCTGGACAATTGAGATAGATAGTATAACCATTGAGAAATCGATGCATTGAACTTGAAGCAAAATTAGCAATTGGCCATGGTTGACTTTTCTTGTAAGTATTTAATGGAAGACAATATTGACAAAAAAGATTATCACATGGAACCAATGAATATCTTGCTTGAGGTTCATCTCTTCCACAAAATAGACCTTCTATATTAGATGGAGGTTGAGCTCCTCGAAACGAACAAGTTTTCATATAGAATAAATCCACTAAAAAATATGAAACATATATATTCTTCATATATATATCGAGATGAAGACTAACCATCGATTTGTAAATAGAATTCCAATGCCATAGCCATTTGTCTCGAATTGGGTGTTGGTTCTTTTAGAGCAACATCACTCTTACATAGAACATATCGTCGAAATGATTCATGGAATGCAAGAAGAGTATGACAGATGCTACGAAGTCGTTGTGCATTGAAAGTAATTATTAATTTGCCTACTTGTAATCGTGAAGCTAATTCATTAGCATCTTGTTCAGATAAACTAAATTCATCGGAATAATTGTACTGATTCATCAACATTAGTGCATCGAAAGTATAGGCTCCATATTGACGTCGATTAATTTGATGAGGTGCAAGACGATTAACTAAAAGACAATGAAATGAAACGATTTATAATCAATTTATATCGAACATATGAACCTGGTACATTAGCCAAAAGTAAACACTCATTTGGACCAACATATTCTGTTGGAAATATAGATAAATAAGCATATCGTCCATTCTTTTTATCTAATAATGTTCTTGATTGATATTCTTGTTGTTCATTATTAATTAAAAAAGAAGTAGCTTGTTCTGCTCGAGTTAAATCAATTGTATTGAAATCCATATGCAATAGAAAATATTTTGAATTTTTGCTATTCTTTCGTATTTTATGCCGATTATATTTTTGTTTTTTGCGTCAAGATTCTATCTGAAAGAGAGAAGGATATGAATGAAAAAAAAGTTTTTGTTTTTTCCTATCTAATTTCTTTTTCTATATGATTAAGAGCAAAGTTTATTCTACGTTAACAATTTGGTAGATATATATAGCTAAGAGAATAAAGAATAAGAAAAAGTTTTTCATTGTAAAGTTCATTTGTTCTCTTATATAGTCCGATAGATTATTTATTTCATTTCGATAATATGTAATATTCGTGCGATATTATATTGAGCACGATGAACCATATTAGTTTGACGATTTTCAATAGCCGTAATAATTGTATCAACTGTGGGTAGTTTCTTAAATTTTTTCCCATTGTTTAATATTTTTGTTTTCTCATCGATTGCTTTTTGAAGGTAGGTTTGAGCTATTTCTTCAGCAACAGATATCGTTCGTATTGCTAAATCATTTATGAATGTATGAGTTGATTTCATTTTATTCATTGTTACATGTATTGTTGATAAGCATTGTTTGTCAAAAAGAAGATTAATCAATATAGTGTTGATCTTTGTTAATGCTAAATCTTGAAAAGCACAACAGGTAGATGAAGATTTATCAGACAACCATTTTTTGAATATACCAATTTCATATCGAAGTTTTTGTTTATCATCGGTAACTTTCCAAATAATTTTTGCTGAATGTATCTAAACAGAATGAAAGAAAGAAGAAAAATGATATTTATTGAAGATATATATACAGGGTGGCCCAAAAATCATGTTACCGAGAAAAATTGAGTATCTCCATCACGGCTTGACCAAACGGGCTCATTTTTTTACCAAGGATAGAGGCATATTCACACTCCAAGTCCATACGGATAAGGTTAGTGAGAACCTTTGTTAAATATCACTGTTAACCTCAACAAGAAAATTTTACTTTTTCACAGATAGGAAAAGAAAACGATATACTTAACAAAGGTTCTCACTAATCTTGTCCGAGTGGATTTGGCGTGTGAACATGCCTCTATCTCTGGTAAAAAAATCAGCTCATTTGCTCTAGCTGTAATAGAGATATTCAATTTTCTTCTCGATCAAATGACTTTTGCATCATTCTGTATACTGGTTTTTTCCTACATTTGAAAAAGCAAATTTTTTTTGTTGAGGTCAATAGTGATATTTAACAAAGGTTCTCACTAACCTTATCCGTATGGACTTGGAGTGTGAACATACCTCTATCCTTGGGTGTGGGTGTGGGTGTGGGTGTGGGTGTGGGTGTGGGTGTGGGTGTGGGTGTGGGTGTGGGTGTGGGTGTGGGTGTGGGTGTGGGTGTGGGTAT